GACTCAGCTTTTATTTTTGGATTATTTATTTTAGTTTAACACATCAATTAAATTTATCTTGTCCCTTGTTGAATGCAGCTATGCTATCTGCTCCACCACCTCCTGTGGCAATGAGTTCCAGAAGTTTATGCACTATATATACATACAGGACTTTATTTTGCTCGTTTCCTGTCTCCTGCTCAGAGATGGAGGTTCCTGGCTAAGTAGTCTTACCTGGGACTCAGTGAACAACAGCACCCTGTTTGTCATATTTTGTCATAATTAAAATATATAATTGTAACAGCATTAATATTGTATTTACCCGAAAGGATAGGAAGGGTTGCCCTGCAAAGGGACGGTGTGAAGAGTTTGCCTCAACCCACGGCAAACAAAATGGCGGCCGAACGCGAACAAGATGGCGCCGCTCACTGCGGGCAACGCGCACAACATGTCGGCCGGCGTTGGGACTTCCGCTACCGCAGGCCTCGCCCCTAACGCTGGAGCCGTTACCAGCGTGATTACACCGTCCGCTTGGCGCCTGCGCGGTGGGGAGGCGCGCGCTTGTTTGAACAGGGAAGCGCAGGCGGATCGGGTGAGGCCAAGCTTTCGCGGTCGGAGCGGAGCACGTGAGCGGGGCCGGGGTTTCGGCCTCATGCAGGGGCGATCGGGGGTGGTGGTGCCGGTGGCGGGCGGAGGGGAGAGTGCGAGTGCCGCGAGCTAAACGGGGTTGGGGGGGTAGCGACTACCTCACTCACTGTCCGGCGAGACCTCCTCGCTGATTGGCCGGGAGGCGGGAATATGCTAAGAGTTCCCTGATGATTGGTTGGCAGGCGACTAGTGGTCGAGGGCGCTCTTGCTGCGGGTCCGTCGCCCCCCACCGCTCCTTTGCTTGTGCTTTGGTAGGGCCGTATTTCCTTGTGTATCTGTGCCAGTACTGAAATTACCAACCGCGGAACTGGGGGAGGAATGTGTATTGCGAGGAAACACTGTAGTGGGGCCCTATTTCCTTGTGTATCTGTGCACTAGTGCAGTTTCCAGCTACTGGATTGAGGTAAGAAGGTGTGTCTGCAAGGAAATACAGTACTGGAGGGGGCGCCCTTAAATTTTGAAATACCGTGTGGTGGGGAGGGTGCACTTCACTAAATTGGGAGAAGCTGCAAGGAAATACGATAATGGGGGCCATATTTCCTTACATATCTGCACACTGCAGTTTCCAGCCACTCGATTGGGAGGGGAGGGTGATGTGTTTGCAAGGAAGTAGAGTAGTTGGGGGTTGCTTTGGGGAGGAGGGCAGGTTGCCTTGGTAGGTGAGGTCTGTGGAGTTTCATTGGGGCAGCTGGATGGAGGTCACTGATTCCCTAAAAAAAACCAAACTTTATCTTGCTTCCATTCCATCCCCTCACCTCACAGCAAAGATGAAGAGCTCAACGCCCCAGTCTGCTGGCCGTTCCCCGAGCACCGCCTCATCCTTGGATAGCGTGTTTGTGTCCCCCAGCACCCGGCCCCAGGCCCTGAGTGCTGGCAGCACCCCTGAGCTGGAGAGCTTGGCCAGGAATGATGATGAGCAGGAGAGGAAGCAACGTCGGCGATCCCGCATCCTCGACCTGCAGCTCAGCAGCACTGAGTCGCCCCTTTTGGTCAAGTCCCCTGCCAACAGGTAAAGAGGGCTGCTGTGGGGCTTCACCCATGGGGTGAGGGCAGACGTGATCTGAGGTTAAAGAGGCAGGGAAGAGATAATGGAGGGATATGATCTGGGTTTGAGGGGGAAGGGGGAATGACACAGACCTGATCTGGAGTTAAAGCAGGGGAAGATGGATGAACAGACATGATATGGTGTTAAGGGGTGGGAATGATGGGCAGACATGTTGGTGGTTAAAGGGGCAGGGATGGGACAGAAATGATCTGGGGTTAAAGGGGGGCAGGGTGGACAGACATGTGATCTGAGGTGGAGGAGGAGCGGGGTGGGTGGGCAGACACAGATGTGATATGGGGTTAACGGGATGGGCTGACGAGCATGATTCAGGAGTAAGGGGCAGGGTGACCATAACTATTTTAGGTAAATCTGGGATGGGGAGTCATGCGGCCTGGGTCCAAGACATGCTGGGGAGCACGGTGCCTTTTCTCACCAGAGCTAGGGCTGCACTGTCAGCTGGGCTTTGGGGGGGGAGGGCGCAGGGGCTCTTTCTGACTCAGGGCTCTGGCTCTGTCCCAGCACCTACAGCTGCATCCTAGCCATGAGCCCCTGGGTGGGGCAGGCAGAGCTAGCTCTGGCCTTACACCCATCTGCCTGGTTAGCTTCTATGACAAAGGCACCATGTTCCCCAGCACATCCCAACAGCTACTCTGGCTCTACTTGCTGCCACACACCTGTGCATGTGCACTCTGCCCCGCGGCTCCCAGGAGCAAGGCCAGGCAGGACAGTTTGGGACATGTGGTCAACCTAGGCAGGGTGCACAAACCCAACCATGGTTGCTGCTTGGTTGTGTGAGATGATCTGTACCTTAGGCTGGGTTGGTGGGGTTGCCTGCTATGTATCTCCTCCTTGAGGTCCTAGGCCCTCCAGAAGCTTTCTGGGCCAGATGTGGCCCAGGACATGACATTTCCCTGTGGTGTTCTCTGGAGGCACCCAGTGTTGAGCTCTCTAAAGCAGAGGTTCTCGTCTTCCTTCAGGCAGGCAGACGCTTCTCTGCCGGTGATCCCAAGACTGACAAACACTCAGATTTCAGATCACTACTCAACCTGCATTAAGCTGTCTGCAGAGAATGTGAGTTCAAAGCTGTGGCTTGAGGCAGCTTTAAAGACGACCAGCTTGTTATTCCTTGGGCTGGGAGCATTTAAAATGGATTAGTTTTAGGCAGGCACCAACAGGAGTTCTAGGATTTCCCCCTGGATTACTGTTGGGAGGGGGTGGTTTATCTGGAGCAGGAGAGGCAAAAGCGTCTGTGTTGTGGATTATGAGTGCTTCTGGGCTGGAACAGTCTCCATGTCCCTAGGATGATGGGGTCCTGCTCTGGGGAAAGGAAATACCATCTTTTCTCTTGGACAAGGCTTGCCTTTTTTTCTCCCAAAAATTGGTCCTCTCCCCGAAAATGGGATGGGTGTATTAAGCAGGATGGCTGACTTTTTGCCTGGTATAGTAACACCCTGCTTTTGATTCTGGCATTACTATTCAGGTACCTGTGGTGGTCCATTGACTTAATGACTCATTGCTTTTCACTCCAGAGAAGATAACTTATTTCTCCTTCATAGTCATAATGGTTCAGTAATCAAGCTAATCTTTCTTAGGGCAGTCTTGCTGCCTACTGCCTGCTTTGGGTCTCTCGCCTGTTCACAGCTTTGGAGGCCCTTGAGCTCTTTTCAACCATAGATCCACCTATGGAGACCAGTATTCAGCAGCAGCTAGGCTTGCAGCTTCAATTAAGCAGAAAAGGGCATGAGAATCAGCTGAAGATCAGCCTCTGTGCTCTGTGCAGCTATGACTCGGGGCTGGGGTGGGGAATATTTTAGTTTCCCCTTCATTTTGCTTATCAAAAACAAAGGGTGTGTTATTCCAGGGTGGATAAGAGAAAACAAAGCATTTACTTTCAGCTTCTTGATAGAACTGACTAGTATTAGAATAAGATTCCTTGAGAAATACCTCAATTAAATGATTCCCCACGTGCTGTAGACTTGAATTATGCCATTTTTCCAGAAATAAAAGCTTCTGCTTTGCTCTGTTACAGAAAATCACCACAAAAAATGCCTTTGGCTTGCATCTTATTGACTACATGACAGAGATCCTCAAGCAGAAGGACTCCGAACTCACCAACTTCAAGGTGAGAGGTCCTGTACTGTCTGATCCCTTCAGTGCCCTGTTGCCTCTGGTATCTGCTTGAGGAGATGAGCTCAAATATATCCAGGGCAAAGGAAAGCTAACAAGACTCTGTACGAACTCTGCAGTCCAGAGCTGGTAGATAATGGAGAGGACCTTTCTCCTGCTGTTGAAGTGGTAACTCCAGCTATAGGAGGAATTAAGATCCATGGAAATTACTGAACATCCCCAAAGCATTTCCCTGGGCTGGGGCTGGCTCATGAATAGCTCAGGAGAAGAGTACTTGGGTGATTCAGACTCAAGGGTAAAGAACAATCCATGAAATGCTTACTCATGTGATACTGAAAACACGGGTTCTAGTTGGTGGCCACTCAAAAGCCTGCCAGTTCCTTAGGATCACTGGAAAGTCAGGCTGGAAGGGACATCAGAAGGGCTTCTAGTCCAGCCCCTGCTCAAGGAACACTTAAACTATCCTAGGCAATTCTCTGTCCAACTGGCTCTCAAACATTTCCAGGGATGGAGGTCCCCTCCCCTCTCTGGGCAGCCTGTCCCAATGCTGGGTCACTGTCAGTCAGGAAGGTTCTCCTCATCTCCAGCCTCAATGTTCTCTGCTGCAGCTTAAGGCTGTTGCTCTATGGCCACAGAGGGAAGCCAGTTTTATTCCATCATCAGTTGCCTTTCAAGTATTTGAAGACGGAAGTTCCCTTTTGGTCTTCTGTTCTAGACAATCCCAGTTATTTCAGTATTTCCTTTGCTTTCTGCTCCTCTCCTCTCCTGTCAGACTTGGGTATAAAGCAAATGCCTTGCAGCACCTTGGGTTCGCAGCTCTACTTTAGCTGACAGCTCATCCCAGTGAGGCAAGACCCTTCCTAGCTGTCCATCCTACATCCTTCATGTTCCCTGACCACCTCCTTTCCATTACACAGATGGCAGCTGGCACCCTGGATGCCAGTGCAAAGATTTATGCCGTCCGTGTGGATGCTGTCCATGCTGATGTCTACAAAGTCCTTGGTGGGCTGGGCAAAGATTCCCAGTCTACAAGAGAAGAGGATGGTCAAGACTTGGGTATGCTAGCTCTGTTCAGAGGAGAGGGATCTGGTTCTTGAGCTCAGCAACTGCCACAGAATGAATACTGCTTCGTTCTAGGCAATGTCCAAGAACAGTCTGTGGCTTCATTCTTGTATGAAACAGGAAGCAGCATTCACTAGTGAGTGAAAAAGATGGGAAGAGATGTGCAGGATGCAATAGATGACCAGTAGGTTGGGCATTCCTATATGATCATTTGTTTTAAAACAACCCAACATGTATCCAAATGAAATGGATTAGCTGTGCAGGATTTTGTCCTTTTAGCAGGTGAATCGCATCCCCCATTATCTTGCTCATTGATACTTCAGGACACAAGGTGACATGTTTCCTTGGTGCTTGATAGGCCCAGTCCTGTGCACCCTGGGAATTTCTATGCTGGATCACTTACTGAGAAATACCTCCTGGGATCTCCAGGGTGGGTCTTGAAAAGCAGGCAAAGTTCAAGTTTCCCTGCTCCCTGAGATGCACCCTGGAGATCCTGGGGTCACATCTCTATAAGCAGGGAAGGCCGGGCCAGCACTCAGGGCTTCAGGGGTCTGATCCTGGGCAGGACTGGGCCCCTCAAGCCCCCAGAGCACCTGCCCAGGGCAGCTGGAGAGCATGGGTAGCTCTAGGCTGCCAGCACTCTCATGCCATAAAAGCAAGAGACATCTACTGCAAAGTAGCAGCATAGATTGATACTCGCTTCATTATAGCTCTGGCTTCGGGGCATTTGTGGTGTGACAAGGGACACATACTTTCTGCTTGGCCTTTGTGCCACCATAATAACTTTCATGATGGCACAAAGGACATCTTTTTCTGCTCCTAGAATTACTGTAATGCAGTTAGTTGTTTTTTCTCCAAAGCACTTGAACCTGCAATAATTTTGCAACAAGTCCCTAGGGCATGGTTGAGGCTTGGGGGAATGGAAAGCAAACCTGTGGGAGAGGCGGGTCCACATGTGACAGCCTGTGACTGAATCACACTGAGCTGAAGCCTTCTGTTAGCACCTCGGTCAACTCCAGAGCAGCTTAGCTACCGTCCACCTCAGTAGCCTTGTGTTTCTAGATGGAACTGACACCTTGGAAGCCAGGAAGAAAGCTCCCACCAAGAAGAAGCACTTCTACAAAACCATCGAGCAGAACCCAAGTAACCTCAACGTCCCAGAAACCGATTGCAAATGTGAGGTGGGTACAGTGGTTCCAAAGGGCTTGGCTGCTGTGTTGATCTGTCCTCCTCCTTGGCTCCACTGGGCCTGTTTCTTAAGATGGTGGCTTTGACCTTCATGTACGATCTTGTTACAATCACAGCAAGCTTTTCTTTTTTGCTCTTCTCCATTCTGTACTGCCCAGTCGGGGTGGATTTCCCAAGCTCTGCCTTAACCCAAAGACCATAGAGCTGCAAGCATGATACTCCTTTCAAATTCATGCTTGAGGTTTCTTTGCCCCTATCTCACCCCCTGCCCCATTCCACCCCCTCCTTACATCCACATACAGGTTGACCCCATGCTCCAGAAATCAGCAGCCTCCTTTGATGAGTGTAGCACGGTTGGCATCTTCCTCAGCACACTACACATCCACAGCTACTGCAGCGAGCTCCTGTTCGAATCCAAAGTCACACCTCTCTCATCTTCAGAGATGATGCTTGAGTCCCCGAGCTCTGCACCTGTAAAGGTGGCAGATGTTAACTGTAAGTGCACATGATGCTGTATTTGTCTCTTGCAGCATGCACCTCTCGAATATGACCCACACCTTGTTTTGGGAAAGCAGAATGAAGGAAAGTCGCAGCCAAAAGCTGAATGCAGACTAGCTTGCATGCCCTCAGCTAGCTCACTGGCTGCTTTAGGCTAAACCTCTCGGCACCATTGCAGCTACTGCTGAATTTTTACAGCAACTTTTGGTGGCACAACCAATTCATCAGTGGCTCTGAGAGGGTTAACTGAACTTTACCCCTGCCAGAGAGGAGAGTCCTGGATGGCCATTCCAGCATCTCCATGCTTCTATTCCAGTGTAGAAATTGGATTTCCCGCTTCAGAAAACACACCTCAGTTTTGTTGAGCTTAGTGTTTTGGAGAGGAAAAATGTATGTGATAGTGTGAGCTCTGGCATTGTGCAAGCTCAGCTTTCCTTCCAAGCTCAGCACTAAATGCTTCTGCTCATTATCTCGCAACACAATGGGCACTCAACAATCTGTTCAGGTTTCAGTGCCAGCCACTTTACTTGGATTATCTGGCTCTGGTTTCTTTGGCGCTGTTATTCAGGCATTACTCAGTATAATCAGTCTCTAGGCTCACATCTTAGATCCCTGGCTAGCCACAGAGTTTGTCCTGTCCAGGGATCCTGGTTTTCTCTGACTTTAAAAATAAATAAATTGCAAATTCTCTGCTTTTCTTGTTTTGTTTTTAAATGAAAGGCCACTATATATAGGTATCAGTTGAACACAATGTTCTCTTGATACATTTACAATTTTAAAGCAATTTTGAAGCCTACCAGTACCTCAATTACTAATATAAAATAAATAACTATAGGTCTTGGTATTTGAGTTTTGGGTTTTTTATCATGGAAAATCAGAGGTCCTCTGGCCCCCTTAGCTCACAGAACACAGGTCCAGGCCCCTCACTCCCAAGCTACAGCCCCTCAGCCCTGACAGAGGGGGGGCCCCCCAGTGTTAGGGTTATGGGGCCAGAGAACCAGGTCCACAGCCCCCTGCCCTCCTGCAGCAGCACCCAAATGCCAGCTGCCACCTGCGGGAGCATACCTGCTGTAGCAGAGCATGGAGCCTGGCTTCCCCCCTGCTGCTGCCTGCCTGCTTTGGGCTCAGGCACTGGGGGCAGGGGGGGAAGGGGCAGCTCCCTGCTGCTGCAGGCACACCCAGTGGGGGCAGGGGGGACCATGACCCCCAGATCTGTGTAGGGTGGAGGCGGGCTGCCTTCTGCGGGCTTGGGTTTCCCACCCTGCTGCCCTTCCCCAGGGCCTCTGCAGCCCTGAAGGTGTGACTGACACTGCAGGGTAAAGTGGGGTTGTGCAGGAAAGCTCCTTTGCTTTGTGAGCTCTGTGCTGCCCTCATGAGACGTCCCCTGCCTATGTAGCCGGAGCAAGGGCGGCAGCATGAGGTTGTGTTCCTTACTGCTGGCGCATGGGCAGGGGATGCCTTGCCAATGCATGCAGCAGCCTGGAAGCTGTCCCCACCCCTCCCCGTCCACTGGACAAGCTGCCTGTAGCCCTATCCAGCTCCTTGCCAGGCCTCTGCAGTTGTGCATTCTAGCCCCAAGCTCTACATACTCCCTAGTTGGGCAGTAGTCCCAGTCCTGCCTAGCTCCCTCCCTGTGGGGGGTCTCAATTTCTCCCTCCCCAACCTGTGGGAGCTGCTTTCCAGGTTGCCCCTGCCTGACTGCCCTTTGCCCTTCTGTAAAGAGCTATTTGCAAAAGTGCAAAATCTGCAGGTTTCTCTATTTTTTTAAAATAAAAAATCCGTGTCTTCCTCTGCAGGGCAGGGAAATCTGTATTTTCTCCAAGTAGCATAACAGTTGTTACGCTGTGTGCTTCAACTTGGTGGGTGACCGAGGTTAGAATGCTCTGTAGAGATGCACCAAGAGTAGTGATGACGGCTTTTTTTGTTGTTTTTTGTTTTGTTTTGTTTTGTTTTGTTTTTTGGGGGAGGGGTTGGCATTCCCTCTCCAATACCCAAGCTTCTGGGTATTGGGGTGAGGCAAGCTGTTCTGGTAACAGTTACTTTTTAGCTCTGTGCACTCTGTTGCCTCCTAGCACTCCTGCTGAAGTGCATTGAGAACCGTCCCATCTGCCCTTCCCTTGCTAGCCTCCGGTTCACCGAATGGGACAGCGAATGTCACAACGAGGTGAGTTTGTTGAGGCACATGAGTTGTCAGGAGTAGTTTGTGCCCCACGTGAGCTGTAGTCTACCAAAGTTTGCACAGAGCTGATCCCCTTCAGGCAGGGGTTTAGACAGTGACCTCTGGAGTCCCTTCCAGCCAGACTCCTCTGTTTCTGTGAAAGGCCTCTTTGGGGTGGGAAAATGGGGAACTTTTTCCTGCATCTGTTCACTTGGGGACTGTAGGCCATGTTTGCTCTGTGTCCTTGAGGGATTGGGTCTCAGACCAACTCAAGCTGCTTGGAATGGCTCAGAGTGGGAAATGGGGTTCTTCCGTCACCACTTTAGAATTGGCTTGCCATTGTTCTATTTTCTTTTGCCTTGTTACAGCCTTTCCTCACAAGTCTCTTTAACTACTTCGCTAAGGAAAGAGGGAACGGGGGTAGGAAGGGACTGTGGGTTTCTTGCTCTCAAATACAATGCACTTCCTTTTTTTTGGAAGGCAGAAGGTAGGGGGAGGAAAGGATTTCTTCCTCCAATTATAGCCTAGATCTAGGCATTTTTGGTGGTGAGCTTGTTTCCTCCCCCACCATGGAGAGGCAGTGCTGCAAGATGGCTGCCAGCTTTGTGGGACACCAGGCAAGAGGGCCAAAAACCTATTTCTAATTTGAGTGGCTCTGAAAGGGTTAACTCTAGGGGACACCCCACCACCACCACTTGCTGCCTGAGAGAAGCTGGCAGCCATCTTGCAGCACAGCATCTCCATATTTCTATTTCAGCAAAGACCATCAGAATCCCTGCTTAAGGCACCTTCATTTTAAAGGGCTGATTTTTGCGGCGTGGGGGGATGCTAATAAATACAAGTCTAGCTATAACAGCAAAACCACATCTAGTGCATAAGTTAGATCAGTTGTGATTTGCCATTCTTAAGCCAAAACCACAAATACACCCTTAGATGCACTGTGAAGATCTCAAGGTCTCCTTCCAGGCATTTTGCTTAGTTCAATGTGATCTTACCACTGTTTTAGCTGGTGCATTCATTGCTTCTGTTCTATTTAACTGGGCTGCTTGTAACATCCACAAAGCCTTGCTCAAATCTTTTAGAAGCAGGCTTTGAGGCTGCCTGCATTAGCCAACTTTCTGTAGTTGGACCGCTTGAAAATTAGTATGTCACCAGCCTTGGCTGTTGTGGCTTGTGGTGTTAAACACGTGTTTTAACGGTGCCCTACCTTGGAAGTCCATGTGACCTGGTATCGAATCCTGTCTTGGAGTATGTAACTTCTCTCTCTTTCCCCTCTCATGCTCTTTTCCTCTTGCGTTTGGCTGCTGTTCCTGGGCTGCAGTCGGTGTCAGCTCTGCTGGAAAAATTTAAGAAGAGTGACCAGGTGTTCAACGTCAATGCTGACGTGGAGGACGAGCCTGACAACTGTGCCGATGCCCCTGTGATGGATGACTTTGATGCAGACCTGCTAGACAGGACAATGGCAGGGGAGCTGGGCAAGTTTGCACAGGATCCTGAGGCCTTCAGGATGGCACATGAAGGCACAAAGTGAGTGGTTTGAAAGGGTAGCATTGTTAGACTGTAGGTCATAGGGATTTCTTGCTCTAGGAATGAGCCTCTGTGACTTGCTGGAGAGAAAATACCCTGTTTGCCTCAGCTGTGCTGCCTTCTCCTCAAAAGGCTCCTCCCGGCCTCTGAAATGCTTTAAATACCCTATGCAGTTAAAATGCTTTTACCACATGTACTTACATGATACACACATGCCTCCCAGTAATTGGAGACAAAGGGCTAGAAGGGACCTTGATAGGTCATCTAATCCAACCCCTGCCTAAGGCAGGATCGCCTGTATCCAAACCATCCTGTCCAAATCCATTGGCCAGCTTCTTGGCAAAACTGCAGTCACGCCTGACCCAACATGAGACATCACACCCAAACCTGCTATGAGGGAAGAAGGGGGACCATGGTAGCTGACGTCTAGCTGCTACAGAGATTGTTAAATACCCTCCAAATAGTCTGTAGTGGATTGCATGGCCTTCTTCCTGGGAAGGCAATCTTCCCACTTCTCCCCAGTCCATACCAGTCTGACCATGGGGTAAAATTTCTTCCTGACCCCAAATCTGGCCATGGTCTAACCCTGAGTGGAGGGGCAAGACCTTCTGGCTTTAAGTCTCAGCAGAAGCATTGGCACAGCCCAGTCATCCCCAGCTTGGGCTGCAACCAACACTTGGTGTCTCTGAGGTAAGCTTAAGGTCTCTGATGCATGCAGCAACAGGATTGTGGGGGCAGAATCC